GAATCCATATGAATTATGCAAGAAGACATAAACTACCAAAAGGGGTGCACGTGAGATTTACTAAAAAAACGTTGAGAGATGAAATATATAAAAGAACTAGAGATGAGCCCTTGAAGTATAAAGGGAGAGAAATTGTGATTTTAAAACAGATCCCTAGGAGAGAGAAGAGGAGACAATACCAATTTTGACAGCATAACTGATCAAATATAACATGACTTTTAGATGGCTGATACCAGAAGGAATTCTGGTCACCTGGCAAGATAAAAAATTAGGGTGGATACACTTGATAAAGCACACAAATTCTTTGAATACCATTTTATTGCGAATGAAGAACAGGAAAGTAGAGAGGAGATAGAAAGTAAAAGTCAAGATGAAATGCAAATAGAACAAAAAGTCCTACATCAAGAAGAAAGAGAGAAGGTGAAAAATGTGTGGCAGAATGAGAAGGTGCAAGAATAAAAGGACAGAGAGAGATAAGAACAACTAGAAGGGTAAGACCTATATATAAATAAAAAGATGGAAGAAGTAAATATGTTATCTCATAACATAAAAGGATTGAACTCCCCCATGAAAAGAAAAAAACTTCACAAAGGGTTAAAATTGGATATAATTTGTCTTCAAGAAGTGTATATTAAAAAAACAACATGGCAACTTATTGGAATACCCCAAAATCAGGAAACTATATTCAGCATTAGCACATCAAAAGAAAAGAAGGGTGGAACTATATGTTACAGAACCATTAAAAGCCAAACAATGTAAATGAAGAAGGGAAAATATTAATGGTGGAGGTGCTAATAAACCAGAAACAGATTCTTTTGATTGCAATCTATACTCCAAACAATAAGCAGGAAATTCTACAAAAGACTTCACAAAAAGATAACCTAAATGGAGCATGTAAACATATGTATGATAGGGGACTTCAACGCAATTGTGGACACCAAAATATATTATAGAACCAGTAAAAAAAGTAAAAAAATAAGGACATTTCCAAAAACCATTTTTGAAATGACACAAGAAATAAGCCTATAGGATATATGGACAGAGCTAAACCCAAAGACAAACCAATATACATTTTACTCAAATGGACATCAGTCATGGTCAAGAATAAACATGGCATAGATGACATCAGCAACCAGAACAGATATCCAAGAGGTAGATATAGAATCAAACATGGACAGACCACAAGCCCCTAAAAGTTACATGGAAGGGACAAAGGAAGAAACCGAGATGGACACTGAATCAAACTATTTTAAAAGACAAGGAGTTCACACAAATAATAGGAAAAGAAATGGAATTTTTCTTCAAAGAAAATAGAAAAGAAGAAACATCACTGTAAACTGTTTGGGACATGGCAAAAGCATACATCTGATAACATATATAGCAAGAAAAAGCAAGGAAAGGAAACAACAGCAAAATACACTAAAGAAGGGCGTAAAAAATTAGAGACAGAATTGCAGAGTGATTCCCAAAAAAAATAAAAGAGAAAATTGATCTAATAAAACATAAACTGAATCTAAGAGGAAATGGCACAAAAAATCAAAATGGCAAAACAAAACTTTTTTGAAAATGCAAATAAGCTAGGTAGATGGCTAGCATATAAATTGAAAAAAAGAGAAAGAGAAGAAAATAATATACAAACTGATAGATGAGAAGGGATTTTCCATCATCACAATGAAGACAAAAAGAAAATAATCCAGGAATTTTTAAAGAAAGTTTACGGTCAAGAAAAATATCAAAAGATAAAATAAAACAATATTTGGAAAAGGCTGGTCTACCTAAAATACCAGACACAATGAGAGCAATGTTAAATGAAAAAATAACAATGGAAATAACAGAAGCAATTAAAAGACAAAAAAACAATAAAACACCTGGACCAGGGGTGGGATTCTACAGGTTCACACCTATTCGCTAGAACCGGTTGTTAACATTCTAAGCAGTTCAGAGAACCGGTTGTTAGAATAAATTACTGGCCTAATCCTGTAAGGAAGGCAGGAAGGAAACATTCTGGTGTTGCTTATAGAAACTGGCTCTCCGTTAACCCTTATTACATTCTTGGCAGGACAAGACTTCCTGTCTCTGGAACTTCTCTGGAGTTTTTTTTCCTCTTTTGCTGGTATTTTGCTTGTGTGGAGTGACCATTCAAAGTTACAATGGCACTGAAAAAAGTGACTTATGACCATTTTTCACAGTTAGGACTGTTGCAGCATCCCCACAGTCATGAGAGGCCAGGCGAGGAGATGTTAGGAATGATAGTCACCTAACAGTTGGGTTGGAAATATATAAACCAGGATAGTCATTTAATATTGTATCTTTAAGAGAATGCTGTAAGTGTGATTGGCTGAGGTTCCTCCGACCATAAAATGGAGCCAGAAACCTGGTTCCTTTCTCCTTGCATTTCCTGTTTTTGCCGTGTTGCCTGATTGTCGTTCTACTTGGATTGCTGTGAGTCTTGCAACTGTTAGCAAACTCTGTTTATGATACTTGACTTCATTTTTGGATTATCCCTGGACTGATACTACCTGCTTTAACTGTGTATGATTTGGACTGTTTGTTGGACTTTGTTTACCCATTTACTGGAAGTAAAACCTACATTTTACTATTCAGTGTATCTGTGTGCTGGTTGTGTGTTATTCAACACCACTCTCACTATGTTTCCCTGAGTGCACTCATTCTCCTAACGGGGAATATCTCAACACTGGTTATGGGCCCAGCACATACCAGACTCAGATAACTGAGAGTTAGTGTGAAAACGCAGTACCGTACGCAGACAGCTGTTTACTGTTTAATTGTGGGTTACTATCCTGGTAAAGATGGCACAAGACCCGTCAAGGAGTGGGATTCAGTTTTTTTAACAACTGGTTCTTTGGGTATGGCTTAGTTGATGGATGTGGCTTGGTGGTCATGTGACTGGGTGGGCGTGGCCAACTCGACCTCACTCATGTTAAGGGGTGCTTCTTCTTGCCTGGCCTCTCATGACAGTGGGGATGCTGCAATGGTCATAAGTGTGAAAAATGGTCATAAGTCACTTTTTTCAGTGCCATTGTAACTTTGAATGGTCACTAAATGAACTGTTGTAAGTCAAGGATTATCTGTACAAAAATACAAAAAGCTTCTTTGCTTGCAAAAAGCTGCCTAAATACCAATCATTAGATTAAAAATACCTGCAAGCCAGAGTTACAAATCAGGCAGGGTGCCAGAGCACCTTGAGGAATGAAAATAGTTAAAATGCAGTGATAATTATCAAGCAGCCATCTCTTGCTCATAAAGTGAAACTCTTTAGCAGAGAGGTCATTTAAGCTCTCCAGAAAAAGCACATCCAGGAAAAGCAATCCTTAGATCCATTTGCTCCACTTAAAGTTACCAGCTGGTCTCACTCACCTCACAAGATATCCTAAGGAAATCATCCAGATTTAAGGAAAGGTCACATGCCCCCCAGAAAGGCAGTAAAAAAAAATCAGTGCCAAGCTTGCATCCTGCCTCTTGGAAGTATACCCCCAAAAGGACAGTGCCAGATAGTACTAAAGCAGTGAGGAAGATCCCCTCCCCAGATAGAAAAAGAAACCATGAGGCAGGAAAAAATTCAAACACAATACAAACAATTAAATCACAACAGTAGCTGTTGCTTGTTGAAACTGAATAGGGAAAATTATCCCATCAACAAACACAGGATTAAACAGCACCAAGCACAAAATTAACATTCAGCAAAAAACAGTTTTAGACCAAAACTCAGAAAGGGTATGTAAACTCACGTTTGAAAGTCAATCTTTCTAGCTAGCCAAGAAGCCTTGCTGAATGTCACTCATCTTGGTTCCCTGTCACTAAAAGCTTTGCTTCATTATTCAATTATTTCTTCAAAGTACTGATTGTTGAGGGAAGTATTTCCTCCCAACAGCAGTATAAAAATCTTAAAACAACCCTTCCCCTTTAAGAAAGTCAAGCCTCAAAAGCTCCGGAGACAGTAACTCTAGGCTGTCTGCCAAGAATGTAATAAGGGTGGAAAAAAACAAAATGAGATTGCTTCTAACTACCAGTTCTCCAAACTGCTTAGAAAGTTAACAAGGAGTTCTATAGAACCGGACAGAACCGGTAGAATCCCATCCCAGATTGCCCCCAACAATCTGGATTCTTATTTAAATGACCCTTGGAAGGATAGAAGGATAGGTCAACCTCGAGCCTGTCAAGATCCAACTCAAGGCTATGGGAAGATTTAGCCTGCAATAATGCATTCTAACCACTGCACCACCAGAACTCTACATAGAAAGTATTCTCCTATTGAAAGTATTCTAAGGAGAAGGGATGGGATGAGGTTTACTGGGCTTCCACTAGTGATATCATCAAAAAACCAGGATAGGCACCTCTGAAAGTTGAAGAGCTCTTATTTTAATCCAGGGAAGTGCAGGCTATTAAATCTGAGTTGGATTGAGCAATTTACACTCCTGAAGACTTGTTAACTGGAGAGTGAATGAAAGTCTTCCAAGTAGAAATTGACAAGCATAGAGAAGCTTGTTAAAAATGAAGAGGAAGAAATACTGCAAAACTGAGTTATTCAACATAGATTGCCCTATTAAGAATCAAAGATTATGAAAAAAATTATCTGTCAAAGATGCCTATCAGCCTAACTCAGAGATGGAAAGAGTCCAACAGTACTTCCTTTACGCCTAAATGAGAACCTAACTATAGTTAAGAAACATGGATGCACCTATGTGTGTGTACCAGAAGCTGGAACAAGAGATCAATTCATGATTAGAAATGGAGGGAGTGGGCAAGAGCAAGGAACAACCTCCAGCCCTCCTATATCGCTACACTTCTGGAAGTGTGATACCTATTCTCACTGTTCTGGCTCCTCAAAATAAGGTTCTGGACTCCACATCCCATTTGCAGAAGCAAATATTACCTGCAAGATGAAACAATATATACATTGGCTGGGAGCAGAGAAACTATTGTTATACCTATCAAGCAATACAACTAGTCTGTATTAAAATAATATGAGTAAAAGGTACCTGAGTGATGTAAATAATTTTGTGCAGCTGAACTAGAATCTGTTGAATAGGATCACTGATCTGACGCACCTTCCGTTGTGACACAGCAATCCCAGCTGATGCTGCAGAAGATAATGTTACAGTCAGCAATGAAAATCAATTTGCTGGTTTCAGTATTTCTCTCAAAGACAAATGCAGAAGCCAGGAAAGAGAGAAAAAGAGCACAAAGGCATTTGGATCTTGCAAATTTAAAGATATCTAGTATTTCCCTTCTTGTAACAACCCTATTAATAGAGAGTTATTGAATTTTAAATATAAAACATTTTCCATACTTTAGTTCAGGTGAAATATTCATGTAGCAAAGCAAAATAATATTAAAAAATATTCAATAAAATTAGATGTAGGCTATACAAAGGTTGTCAAATCACAACTTTATATGCTTTCAAGATTATCTAGGAAGAAAATACAAAAGCCATTTTCAGCCTTTGAAACCTGAATAAGGTTATTTTAGGTGTACTCTATAACCAGACATAAAAATCTACAAAGGAGTTCAAATTTATTAATAATATTGTCAAGAACTGAGCAAATTTAGATTTTCATTTCCTTTCTGATTCAGTATCACAGACTATGAATGAACATATGCTAAAAGACGGTAACATGTTTTTCTTTTATAAAACAATTAAAATAGCAACTCCTGCATAATTTCTCAGCTTAAAATATAAATATATGTAAAGAACGGGGAAATATCTAGTGTCTCCACAACAAGATCATTACAAGATTAGTTTATCTTCCAATATTCCTTTTTTTAATACAGCCAGATCACCATTATTGGGTCCACAATATTTATGATTTCTGTCCTTGGCTGCCAGGAATATAAGAATATTCAAAGTCAGGCTTCATCAACAATCACAGTATGTTCTATTAATGCTCTTTTCGCCCCAGATAAAATATTACCATACTTAAGGAATGTTCAAATGGCATGCATCAAACAAGAAAATGGTCACCAATCTGAACACTTAATATAATGTATATGATAAACAATCTTTTTTTGAATATTTATTTTTTCTTGTTTCAACAAATGTATCGTGTGAACAGTGTGGCACTGGAGTGTCTTACATTTTAAAACAAATATGACAATATTCTACATGTTTAATACAATTGACAATCTTTTAAAATTTAATCTTAATATGCTTATTTTGTTAAATTATCATTCTTAATTATTTGATATTTTGGTATATTTTTGTGTCAATCTCTATATTCTTAACATCACTCCTTTTACTACAAATAATATATTGATAATCATATTTGCAGTGTTTAACAGACTATATAATTCTAATAACAATTCACAAATTTATATTGAGTTGTAATTTTCCATTATTAATCCCCTTTTTCATTTTTAATTATGCCACTATTATATTTTAAAAATATCCCCTTTCTAATCACATTTTAATACAAATAAAATAATATTCATTATATTTACATTTAACAAATTATGTAATTCTAATAATAGTAGTTATTTTTATTAAGTTGTAATCTTTCATTATCTTATGCAATATTTCAATATATTGTTTTATGTCAATCAAATTCCACATATCATTCCTTTTCCTCCAATGAAATGTTAATATTTATATTTATTACATTTAACGATTATGTCTTAATTAATAATACACACATTTATGTTAAATCATAATCTTTTTTAACCATCATCTCTCACTCAACATTAAGGCTTTAATTATTCGTTTCTTAGATTTTCTCCCATATTTCTCTCTTAAATCTTTGTCTCTATCTGCCACTTCTTGGCCAATCCTCTTAAACATTTCTCCCGTCTCTACTAATTGGTCTCATTGTCTCATTTTCTATTCTTACCCCTATCTTTCTCCCCAAAAAATCTCCCTGCAATTCCAATTCCTGTTTAACTTCCCTTAAAGTTAATTCCCTTGTTTTAATTCATCAATCATTGTCATTTTTATTTTTATCTCATTTTTATCAATTTTTTTTGTTTGTTGTTTTGTCTGTTCTATTTTTCCGGCTACTCTTTCAGTTGACTCCTCTTCCTGAACCTTCTGTTTTCTTTTTGTCATTTGTGTCTCAATTTACAGCTCTACGTCTATGCTCTGTAATTTATTCAAGATCTACTCACATCTTCTTGTCAAGGTATCTTTTATATCCTGAATTTCCAATGCAATTTCTTTCCAGATTCCACTCATCTTTGTTTTTATTTTATTTCTTTTTGTCCAATAGTCCAACAATCTTTTATTCAAACCAAAGCCACTTTTCAAACAAGAAATTCAATATCGAATGTCCAGGAGTCTTTATATCCCAAAATTAGTTGATCTGTTCTTTTAAGTAATCCAAGGGTACAACTTTCATGAATCTCTCTTCCAGTTGAGTCTTATATTAAAGCTTTCAGAGATCTTTTGATAATAAAGTTCTCTTATTTCTCACTTTTAATTCTCCATAAACCAGGACTTTCCAGGGATGTTATGTCTTCCTTTGACAACAGGTGGCACTCTTAAACTAGTTTTCACTTTGTCTTGTCTTTCTTATCAAACTTTACTGATATATTCCAAAAGTAAATATTATATTAGTTTTTTTGGTAGAAGATTTCAGCATTTTAAAATGCCTATCCAAAACCAATGTCTGTCCAATTTGAAAATCCAATTTTCTGTGTTTTTAACAAATTTTCTATTTTCTTCCTTTAATTCCTTTCCCTTCCATTTTTAACATTTTAGAATTTTACTCCCAGTGTTATGTCACCACCACTTTAAGAATAATTATGAGTCTCTCTTTTATGAATATTCTTGTCAGGGTTGCACTTTAAATAAAAAGGATTGTTCTCACCCAGTTCCAGACACTGTCACCAAGTCAGCTCTAACACTCTTCTTGGATGTTAACTGTTTCCAGCTGTCTCCACAACATGGCATAGAGGGCAGAAAAAACCCTGGGGCTCTACAGGGGAGTAGTGTTCTCTTCTGGAACCTCACAGGGCACCCCTCCTTTGTTTCACCACCCCTTCAAGGCAGCTTTGGCTTCTTCTGGAGCCCACAAGTAGGGAGAACACAGTGCAGGGATGTAGAGCCCCGTTCCCTTGTGACTGGTGTTGCCGCAACACCACTTCTTTTTCATATATGATAAACAATCTTTTCGTACACTCTCTATGTTTATTATTATTGTTTGGTTGTATGAGTTTTAATCTTATGTTAGCAATGCAGAATTATTGCTTCAAGATAAATGGCCATACTGTCATCGATACGCCACCAATTCATGTATTTAAATAAGGTAGTAAAATATTATCACCACAAAATTTATTCAGATAGATAGAAATGTAATATAGCTATTGAAATTAGAGAATACCTTTGTATTTATTTGAGAGAAATAAACTGTGACTCAGATAATTAGAAGGTAGTTTTGACTAGGGGAGTATTTTTTAAATTACAATGTTAAAATATTTGAAAGTTAATAATTTACAGACATCCCTCAGTACAGAATTTACTGCTAAGATAGGTGTTATTTTCACTATTTTACTATGTATTATTATTATGATTCAGGTACTGGGTAGAGGGCAACCTAATCTTACTTCTTGCCCTGAAATCAGCTAGTCCAGAAAGACACAATATATCTTTCACAAGATCATACACAAGGATGGTACATACACTCAAGGGAGCCAACCAGCAGTCCTTTCTCATCTCTTTCCAGGATTTACATTATAGGCCTCTATACATCTCTTGTTAAGTATCTCCTGGATTAGATAGCTTCATAAAGACAGGGCAATCTTTATAAATAATCTGGGAAATGAAGTCTTAAAATCTAACCTAACTTGTTTGCCATACTCCTAGGATGCATGTTTACAGGATGTACTATGAGAGGTCAAGGCATCTTCTGACTTCTCATTTCAATTTTGTCCGCAAATTGGATTTGAGTATTGATAAATTATAGGATATTCAATAGTCAGATCCATACTTCTCCTAAGCCAAACTCTACTAAGTTTTAAATAATAAAAGGTTATGACTATTTATAACATTTACTTTGGGCCAGTAAATCCTCTCCTTTATCCAAACATGCCTTGCTGGTATAACTGAAAGCAACATGATAATAATAGCAATAGAGTAAAAATATAATGTAGAATACATTGAATGTTTATGATGATCCTTCTTGAGAACAATGCTATGAATTTTCTATTGAAAAATTAGGATCCACCTGTGATATTCTATGCGTAATGTATTAAATACATTTCACTAAATTTATTAAGAAAACAAACTTGAGGAGACAATTTAAAGGCTGAAGATATTCATATAATCTGAAACTTTCATCCAATTATTGAACACATAAGCACAAATATAGCAACCTGCTGATGTGATGTTATTTATATGGAGCAGGTAGAGGAATGATTGTGGGAGGAAAAAATACTCCCCCAGAATGCATATACATGAGGATCTATTTGCCTTATAAGATAGAATGAACTAAGAAACAAATACTGTATAGACCTACAGATACTTTCATTAGTATTTATTTTATTAATATTTATTCATTTATTAATAAATAATATTTATTAGTATTATTTTTTAATTAGAATTACTTTGGGTAGTGAAATGGGCAGCATATAAATTTAATAAATAAATAAATAAATATTAGTATTTATTAGTCATTTTGGACTAGTGGCTAGGCAGCAGGCTAGAAATCAGGAGATCATGAATTCTAGTTCCACCTTAGGCACGAAAGCTGTCTGGGTGATTTTGGGTCAATCATTCTCTTTCAGTCCAACTCATCTCACATGGCTATTGTTGTAGGAAAAATAAGAGGAGAAAGGAGTATTAAACATTTTAGCTGCCTTAAGTTACTTATCAAAGTAATTAAAGCAAGATATAAATAAATAAAAATTTAAAAATTGCTATAGTAATAGAACCTTGCAAATCAGAAAATATTTTCCTTCCTCTTTCATCTTGTGAATTTATGAGGGGATGCTATCTTGAAGGTTTTTCCCTCCATAAACCACATTCTAAGTCTGGGCTCAAGGTTCACCTATCTGATTGTTTCTTTGGCAATTGATTTTCCCCTCTGTATTTCAAAATCATCCTCTATATCAGGGGTCACCAACCTTTTGGACCTCAGGGACCACCAAACT